AATTACATTAGCAAAATCCCTTACCTTTGTGATATTCTATTGGCTAAAAGCAAATCACCATGTATGCCTGCACTCAAAACAAGGGAGCAAAAATCACAAGGCCTTCTTAGAATTCTGCCTATCTCACCAATATTACCAATAACAACAACAAACACAGCATCTAAAACATACACAGCTCTTTGTAGTAGGCACTTGTCATGGATTGAATTATGTCCTCCAAAACATGTGTGTATCAATTTGGCTGGGCCATATTTCCAAGTATTGTGTGAGTGTCCTCCATTTTGTGATTGTAATTTTATGTTAAAGAGGATTAGGGTGGGATTTTAACACCCTTACTAAGGTCACATCCCTGATCCAGTGTAAACAGAGCTTCCCTGGGGTGTGGCCTGTACCACCTTCTATCTCTCAAGAGATAAAAAGGAAAGGGAAGCAAGCAGACAGGGGGGACCTCATACCACCAAGAAAGCACTACCAGGAGCAGAGCACATCCTTTGGACCCAGTGTCCCTGCACGGAGAAGCTCCTAGTCTGGGGAAAGATTGATGAGAAGGCTGACAGAGAGCTAAAGCTCTCCCCTGGAGCTGACGCCCTGAATTTGGACTTTTAGCCTGCTTTACTGTGAGGAAATAAACTTGTCTTTGTTAAGGCCATCCACTTGTGGTATTTCTGTTATAGCAGCACTACATGACTAAGACAGCACTGTTGTAAACACTTTGCATATGTTGTCACTTAATTGTCAGAACAATCCTATGAAGTAGCTACTCTTATTCCCTCCTTTTTACAGTTGAGGAAACTGAGGTGTGAATTTAAGTAATTTGTCCAAGGTCATAGAGCTTGAAGTTGGAGCCAGGACTGGAACCCAAGCAGTTTAGCTTCAGAGTTCTGTGTTCTTTACTACACTATGTATACATTTAAAAATACAGAGGTAAAAGAAAAAAAAATTAAATAAAAAATGTTCCAGCTACATTTGTGGCTTAAAACAAACACAACATTTGTTTTGCTCATGAATTTAGGCAGGAGATGGCTTGGCAGGGATGGCTAGTGTCTGCTCCACTCGGCAGCAGATGGGGTGACTTGGAGGTTGGGGATTACAGAATATTAGAGCAGAAAAAGTGTTCTAGCCTTAGCCTATGCCTTATTGGCTCAAAGTGGGTGACTGACTTCTCCAAAGACACCAGGGCTACAGCCTTGTCCAGGGCACAGTGATTCAAGAAAGCTGTCTCAGAAGTGTGCAAGGTGGCTCGCTAGCTCATATTGGAAGAGGCTGCACAGGCCTGGCTCACTATTATTTACTCACCATTGCTAACCACCACATTGTCTCATGATCTTGTTTCTCCAGTCTCTACAAAAGGGTTAAGATTAACCGATGTTCCTCCTTGGAGGGTGGAAAACAAGTGATAATGATCTAAGGATAAAAACCAAACGAAGCACCCATCTTGTGACAAGAAAAATACAGATGTCGCCAGATAGTCCCCAAGGATGTCACCAAATAACCCCCAAGAATACCAGTAGAAGATTAACTCATCTAAGACATCACCACCTGAGGGGGAAACTAACACAAACTTCGAAGATACATAATCCTGTCCCTGTAAAAGCCTTCAGCCGATCTCCAGTGGGGTACACGGGTATTTTGGAGGAATCTATTCCCCTCTGTCTGCTATATATCGATATATAATAAACCTCTTGCTGCTCATCTCACCGGTCTCAGAATTGGCTATTACGGCAGGTGGCTCCAATCTGCGTTATTGCAGTAACAATATTAGACAAACAAAACTACTACCAACAAAATAACAACTAAAAATACCTAGGGAGTTGTGATAGGCAGAATAATGCCTGCCAAAGATGTCCCACCCTAATCCCTGGAACCTATGACAGAGGCCTAACTGGAGGGGGGTTGGGCAGGTAGGGTGCTTGCCCTGGGCATTGCCTGTGTGCCCTGGGCACTGCTTGAGGCCGGGCGCCAATTAGCAGTTTCTATTGGCCATCACAGTTTCCACTGCCAGCTGTGACCATCGCAAGCTGTAAGAGATCATTCAGCAATTTAACACTAATTGCCGCACTATTTTCCGAGGTTGGTCCCTGCCTATGAATATGTTGCCTTACATGGCAAAAGAGGCTTTGCAGATGTGATTAAATTAAGAACCTTGAGCCGGAGAGATTGCTTTGGGTTATCCAGATGGGCCAAATCTAATCATGGGTCCTTAAAATTAGAGAACCCTTCCCAGCTGTGGTCAGAGAGATGCATCACAAAAAGAAACTGACCTGCCATTGCTGATTTTGAAGACAGAAAAAGGGACCACGAGCCAAGGAATGCAAGCAACCTCTAGAAGCTGGCATAGGCAAGGAAATGGGTTCTTCCCTAAACCTCCAGAAAGGAAAACAGTCCTGCCAACCTTACACTCTAAGACTTGTATCAGACTTCTGACCTATAAAACTGTAAGATAATAAATTGTTTCTAAGCCACTAAATTTGTGGTAGTTTGTTACAGTAACAATAGAAAATTAACACACACACATACACGTTGTTACAGCAACAATAGAAAACTCACACACACAAACACACACATACACAGAGGGTGTGTTCTATAACTCCCAAACAAGCCAGGTTAGGAAGACTTTTCCATCTCTCTTCTATACTTTCTTCTCACTCTTCCGTAATATTTTTACCCTTTCAACGATTCCCGAGATTTATTTTCATTGACTCTCATCTGGATTGTTATGTTAAAACGGCAACAGGGAGCTTGCAGAGTGATTTCTTCTGGTTCTCACACCCTAAGAATGGCAGAGCCTTTTCCAAGCATTGGCCTGGGGCCCATGCTACCTTTCACCGAGGCCGGATTACACAAGAGCAGCTATCAATCATTTAAGAATCTAGGGAAACATCAAATCCTCTGCTGGCCAGGGAACCGGGCCCAACACTGAGTGACTATTGTTATAGACTCTGGGCACTCAGGAACAAAGTCCACGAAGAGTGGTATTTACACTGGCTCTCCAAGGAGAGCAGGGCCTCTTCAGCACACAATGTGGTCCCTATAGCAGGGCCCTTCACAAATACTTTAAAATGCTCCAGTCACACCCTGGCTGTGCTTGTGTGAAATAGCTGAGGATAATGAGGTGTGACCACTGTCATTTAGATGTGTTACACTTGCACACAGTCTCTGTTATGTAACCATTGTTCTACACTTTACATTTTATTAGCATCACTCAGATATTTAGGGAAAATTTTCTCTCTGCCTTCCATTTGACATGCACGGTATTAGCATCGCTGACCTGGAACAATAAGAGGTGGTCAGCAAACATTAAGTCAAATGAGTACTGAATGAGCGTAAGGGTGTGTGAGTTCAGATGGGTGCTCTCTTTGCAAGCTCACACAGAGGTCTGAGGAGGATCATGGTGTGTGCTAGAGCTCTAATCTAACACTCCCCTCCTGTTCAGGCAATTATTGGGCTGATAGGATTGGAACGCTGCCCAGACCTTGATGCAACATTAATTAGTGCTGCTGGCAGGTAAGTCAAATCACTTCTTAAAAGCTCATTCGGAAGGGAAAAATGCTTTACAAGCCCTTGAACTATTATCATTATTCCTGGGAAGTAAAGAAATGCAAGGGGACACATGTGGCAAGGCCTTGAATTTACACACAGTGCAAAGTTACTGTGGAGATAGGTTATTAACAGGAGTTTATCAGATCAGTGGGATTGCTGTGAACCTACTGGCTTGGGGCTGGATCTAATGTGGGTCTTGGTATATTGCTGCAGTCTGATGAAATAATAAAAAACAGTGATGGCTATGAGTCTAACTGAGGTACTGAATCCAATGCGGAAACAGTAGCATGTCAACAGCTCAGGACAAGGAGCACTACAGTCCACTGTTAAACCCTCTGAGGAGCTGCAAGTTCAGATGATGGTATCAGGCCAAACCTGCTCCACAGCTGAGAATCGTAGTTATGATAGAAAGATGGAAGTACCTTTATTTAGTACAAAAGAATACACGCTTATTATAAATACCTATAATATGTAAATATAGAGTAAAAGCAAAAGTTCCCACTCTCCAGAGGTGACCATTGCTAACTGCTTGGTAACTATGTTTCAGAACTGTTTTCTACACATAGAGATATATGTATTTTACAAAAATTGAATCATACTATTACTGGTTTTTATTTTAAAAGTATTTCACATAGACATCTATGCATATCATTACAAGGTCTACCTCACTGATTTAAACAACTCTAGTCATTAGTAGAGACCTGGTGGCACAGTGGTTAAAGTGCTCAGCTGCCAACCACAAGGTCAGCAGTTTGAACCCACCAGCCACTCCAAGGGAGAAAGATGTGGCAGTCTGCTTCCATAAACATTTACAGCCTTGGAAACCCTATGCAGAAGTTCTACTCTGTCCTACAGGGTTGCTATAAGTTGGAATTGACTCCGGGGTAGTGGGTGGGTTTAGCCATTAGTATCTCATTGTTTAGACAATAATTTGTTGTTGTTAGGTGCCATCAAGTCGCTCCAACTCAGAGTGACCTTATGTATAACAGAACTAATTGTTGCCTAGTCCTGCAGCATCCTCACAATCGTTGCTATTTCAATCTATTGTTGTAGCCACTGTTGTCAATCCATCTCATTGAGAGTCTCCCTCTAATTTAGGTTACTAATTTTCTATTGAAAAACTTTAAGTGGTTTCCTTTTTTTTTTTTCCTTGCCATTATAAGCAACCATTGGGAATCCTTCTCCTTTTTAACTAACCTGTTTATTTCCTTAGAATAAACTTCTAGAATTGGAGTTTCAGCTTAAAATGGCTTGTACTTGCCAACTTGCAGTTTCCATGTCCCAAAAAGGGGCGATGTCTTTCACCAACCAGGAAGCCCCTGTAGCTTTTATGACCAGAGCCTTTAATGGGGCCTCATAATATAGGCATGATTGATTGAATCATCCCCCCTTCCCTGAGGTCAGCTGCTAACACATGGTGGGGTCTTTCTGGCCTGGCCAGCCTCCCCCTACCCAGGACAAAAACAAAATTCTTTGGGTAAAGTTAACCCCATAGTTTTATAAAGTTACTTCTGAAATCAGATGCTTTAAAAAAATCTCTACCTTAATCAAGTTTACCTTTACTATATCATATTTACTATGATACCAATGAAAGTGACACAATAATTGCTTTTGGAAGATAATAATAGATTGTAAGATCTAATAGATCGTAAAATATAGATTGCAATCAATTTGTTAATAACAAGAAAAAAGTTACATCTCTAACTAAAGAGCTTGAACCTTCATGACAATTTTATTGAACTATTTAATATCATGTAAGAAAAATTTGCTTTGGATAGACATGGCTTTATGAATCATCCATCATTTCTCAGAGTATAAGGCACACAATCACTAGCATAATAAAATACAAATCTATAAGAAAGTCTGGAGACAGTAGATGGTACATATGCCACAAAGAAATGCAGGTATCTTTGGAGCATTGATTTTAATATTAAGGTAACCTGAAACTGTGTAAATGTAAAATTTACAGCAATGAAATCTTTCTTCTCTAAAAAACATTAACCATTTTAACAGAAAATCAACCTGAAAGAACACAGGAAAAAGCTAATTTTCTATGATTACTTTATTTTGAAAAAAATATGCTTTTTGTCTCTCAATATCAGGCCAATTTTTAAAAAATGGTTTAACTGGCACAATATTTTAGAATAATGCGTAAACAAGTTAACAGTAACAAAAACTGTTTTAATGGCACATGCAGAAGTTTGTATTTGAAATTACATTACTGACAAGTCCTTTTTTGTGTGAATTCATATTCTGTGGTTATGATCCACAGAATCATAGGTTTCAATATTTTCTTAACTTTGTTAATGAGTATTTTGTTAACTTTAGTTATATTTCTCAAAATAGATAAAACTCTAAGACATGAGATTCTTGGACAAAGATATTAAAAAGGAATACTTCGGTAAGATGTTACCATAGTCAACATATCACAACTAATTATTTCCTAAACTGATTTCTGAAACAATAACCTAGATGTACTGTTATGGTGATTTATAAATATTATGTTTCTCACAAGTGCTCTGAAGCAGATTCTGCCAATAATCATAAGTCACTAAGGTACTTTGCAAACTAAATTTCAGTTAGGATCAACATATATGAAATAAATAAAAGTTAGTATTCACTATATATCTTATTTATGATCTCATTTATTTTGGTCATTTCAATATCTTAGGAACATGTGGACCCAAATATAATGCTAACTTTCCACAAATTAGTCACCCTAAAATTTGAGATGTTTTTCATCAGGAAATGGTCTAACTTAAAGGCAGACTTCCAGAAAACTTACCTGGATATTAATCTAACAGAGGTACTAGTAAACAGTAAAGTCAAGCTAAACTGAAGAAGCTATAAAATATAACATGAAATAAACAAAACTCTAACATTGTACTCTGGTGTTACAGAAGACAGAATCAAAATTACAACAGGTTTTTTTTTTTAAGTTTTAAGTGCCTCCTAGCAAGAGAATTCAGGAATTATAATAATTAAACAATGTAAGTGTCTAACTCTGATTTTAAAAATTCACTTTAAAGTTGGCAACTCAATTATTATCATCTGAACTACCTGCTTCTCCAGAACAGTCATATGATAATGTCAGACATCAATATGTATTCCACGTTTTGAAGACATCATTTGTCTGGTCCCTGTTAAATACATAACAAATGAACAGATATGAGGTAAAGATGATGTGATTATTACATAAAGCCAGAATGGTAAAGGAGAAGTTTTTCCAAACGGGCATATCCACAAGCCATGACGGATTCCATCTCGGATGTGGTGTGAGGTCCAGGATATAAATAACATCCAGGGTAGAAAGCACCATGAGCCTTTGAGCTTGAAAAGGTGCATAACAAACTTCAGCGTCAGAGCCACAATGGGTATCACAGTAGAACAGTGAAGGAAAGGTCTTCGTGGAAGAGTCAAAGCAGCCTAAGGGGAGAAAGTAGTAGCTGGTATCATATCCTTGCTGGTAAAACAAAATTTTATAGATGCTTCTTAATATTTTAAAATCTCTTCCAGGAGTCTATTGGAAATGCAAGGGAAACATTTTCTATGCCACCTCAGGATACATGAATCAAATCTACCGTGTATAAGAAAGAGAAGATAAAGAATGAACAGGATTTCCTTTGCATTAAAAATGAAATCAAGATCTCAGGAACACAGTGATTTTTTTTTTTTTTAAAGTTTCCTGTATTTTTGCCTGGAAAAGTCACAATATGAACATAATTTATATTCTAAACATATGGTTTGTATAATTTGTATTGTTAAAGAATTGTCTGGGGCCTCTAAGAGCATTGAGAAAAGTCTCACAACCAAACAAATATTCTTTAATAAGTAAAGGCAATAAAATAAAAATATTTTTGTTATAATCATTTTATATTAGTCTTGAATATTTTCAGAATTTATTAACAACATTTAGAAATATTATTTTACATAAGTATTTTAAAGTTGCGTTACATTTCAGTAAAATTCTAACCACTGCAAAAAAATCTAATCAAGATCTGAACAAGTGAAAATTTCAGTCTTAACTCCCGAACAATCCAAGAGTGAAGTTTTGCTTCCACCTACTTTAAAGGCTCAGTTGCAGCTAGACAGTTCCTCATAAAAAGAAAGCTGAAGATAGTGAAAAACAAAACAAAACACTAAACCCTTAACCAAGCTCTTAACATCCGTGCCACCAGGGCTCCGAGGATAGTGAAGGGTGCCTAAATTTGAATCTCCTCACATATCCTCCAAAAACATTATAGAACGAGAAGGGCAAATAAAACTATACAAAAACACACATCTTCAGCATACCTACAAGTCAGAGAATGCTCAAACTTAAAATTACTTACATGTAAGTATTAAAATAAACACCACCAGAGAGAATCAGTTGAGTTCTCTCTCATACTCCCACCACAAGCCAGGAAACACTGCATTGAAGAGAGAAGAGGGAAAACCTAAGATTGATCTAAAATTACCAGTAGGAAGAGAAAGTCCAACCTAAGCGTGAAAATACTAGAGTCCTGGGAGATCAGAGCACTGACTACAGGGAGACAACTTTAAAGTGTGATAATTCAAGACTTTGAAAAGGCATTGCTTCTGAGGGAGAAGACGGTAAGAAGGGAAGGGAAAGCCACCCTTTGGAAATTGGGTGGTGATGAAAAAAAGTAGTAGTAAAATAAAAAATAAATAAAATAAAAAAGGTTCCTGTAAGAAAAAAAGCAAAAAAAAAAAGTCATCCATTTAAGAGACTGTACCTTGTCATGCTGTCAAACCAAACCACTCTTGGACTAAAAATCCTGTAAACCTACTCCTTAAGTGTTCTTTAACTCTTACCTACTGACTAAACATCAAAAAGTTTACTCTATTTTCCTCTTACCATCCCCCTTCCCCACACTTTTAATCGTTTTACTTCTACTTAGTCAGAACATGTAACATTTCTGTATTATTATTCTACTTTTGTCTCCACCTTTGTTTTTAAATTCTATACCCACAATATATTAATGCTCATCAACAGTCCTTTTGTTGACACGGCCTTAACCAAGAATACCTTAGAACAAGGAATCTTGTAAAATAGTGAAATGAAGTAAGAAAACAGATCAATCTATAAAAAGCTAGTAAAGAGGAGGTGGGCCAAGATGGCTGCATAGTTAGATGCCTGATAACATCTCTCTTACAACAAAGACCCAAGAAAACAAGTGAATCAAATACAGATGATGACTTTGCAACCCTAAGCATGAAAGGCAAGGCTGAAGAACTGGACCAAATGCCAAGTGGAAGGAGAGACTGTACAAAAACAGTGGACACAGAGAATTATGGATTGCCAGTGCCCTGCCAGCTGAACCTGCACAGCATGACCATATTGAGACAAAGCAAGCAGCATTTCCAGCCAAAGCCCCCATCACCAGGTGCTGCCAAGCAGAAGCAACTATGCACCCACGTCCAGAGCCAGGCAGGGGTGCTCCCTGCCCTGTGAAAATTAAGTGCACTCATCTCACCCACCGCACCCCTCCCAGCCGCCATGCCAGAGGGCCGTGGACCTGTGGTACCCCCACCCCCATCCATCCTCCCCCACACGTGACTACGGTCTGGCAGCACCCACCACCACCCTGCCCCCTGAGTCGGGTACATGGACCGGTGGCACCTGCCCCTTAGCCACTCTCACTGAGGGCCACGGACCAGCAGTGCCCACCTCTCCACCCAGCCACTGGTGCCCACTTCTCAACCTAACCACCTGCACCAGGGGCTTGTGGACTGGTGGCATCCCCTCTTCTGCCCACCCAACCCTGCTGGGGGCCTGTGATCCAGGGTGCCCTCTTCTCTACCCAGCCACCCATGGTGGGAGCCTGTACACAGGCAGCACCCCCTTAAGCCCACCCACCTGTGTCAGGAGCCCATGGTCTGGTGGCACCCCGTCTTCTGCCCACTCACCCACACTGGGCTCCCGTGGACTGCCGGTGCCCACTCTTAAACCCAGCCACTTGAACTGGGGCCAGCGGACTGGCGGTGTCCACTTCTCCAGCTGGCCCCTGATGCAGGGGTCCCATGGACTGGTGGCACCCCCTCTTATGTGCAGCTAACTGCACCAGGGGCCCAAGGACTGGTAGCACCCACTTCTATGCCCAACTGTCCACACCCAGGGCCCAGGACTGGTGGTGCTTGCTGCTCCATCCAGCCATCTGCACCGGGGGACCGCAGACCACAGGCACCTCCTACTCCCTCTAGCCACCTGTGCTGGGGGCCTGAGGACGGGCAGCACATCCTCCCCCACATCACACTCTAGTGGACAGGGGCGTGCCCTCCTAGTTGGCACCTGTGGCCCGACAGTATCCCCCTGCCTCACCCCTTATACTGCCCCCTACCCTGAAACCAGAGGCTTATACCCATTCCAACCACCCTCCTGCAACCCTGCCCGTCTGGGACCATCAGTGAGAGCTTCCATACTATCCACCTGGTAACTGATGACCTGGGCACCCTCGCTCCAACCACCTGAGATGCAGCAGTGTGTGCTCATAAAATCCAACCCAGAGACCAGTGAGAATGCTCTCTGCTCCCATGCTCAGGTGACCTGCTGGACGGACACATCACCTCACCAGTAATGTCAGCTACATCCTCAGCTTCCCCGGAAGACCAGGGAACAGAGACACAAGCTCACACACCCAGCTGCTGCCCCACTCACCCGGAGACAGGTGGCGAGAGTTCCAGTATGGCCAGACTAGTGACCAGAGTAGCACGCACACCCTGCCTACTCAAATATATCAAAACAAAACAAAAAATCAATATATAGTAAAAAAAAAAAAAAAAAACAGCTTAATGCCTTGTAGACAACAGACAGTATCAAATCACATAAAGAAGCAGGCCAAGATGGCTCCAGCAAGTGACCAAAATACAGAACCAGGAAACCATCCAGAAGAAATGGTAATGAACCACCTGATAAGGAACTCAAACGACTAATATATAGGGTTCTCCAACAGATCAAGAAAGAGATCGAGGAAAACACAGATAAAACAAAGGAAAACACAGAAAAAAAAATCAAGGAAAACAGACAAAGCAATAGAAGAATTCAAGAAAACAATATAAGAACAAAATGACAAAATAAAAAATTAGAAACCATACAAAAACAGCAACTAGAAATCCAAAAGATTAACAGTAAAACTTACGAAACAGACAACTCAATAGAAGCACATAGGAGCAGAACTGAATCAATGGAAGACAGAGTCAGCAAACTAGAGGACAAACCCCTTGACACCAATTTGTTTGAAGAAAAATCAGAAAAAACAATGAAGAAAACCTAAGAATTCTGTGGGACACTATCTAGAGGACAAATTTACACAGACAAAATTCCAGAACAGGAGGAGGCAAAAATAAAAAACACAGAGAGAATTCTTGAATTTTTGCTTACAGAAAACTTCCCTAATATCATGAAAGATAATATCCATCCAAGAAGCAGTCATCACACAGGATAGGACCCCAAAAGAAAGTCACCAACACATATCATAATCAAACTTGCCAAAACCAAAAACAAAGAAAAAATCCTGAGAGCAGCTTGGAAAAACGAAAAGTCACCTACAAAGGGGAACCAATAAGGCTAAGCTCTGATTACTCAGCAGAAACCAGGCAGGCAAGAAACCAATGGGATGACATATGTAAAACTTTGAGAGAAAAAAATTACCAACCAAGACTTATACATCCAGCAAAACTGTCTCTCAAAATCGATGGCAATATTAGGACATTTCCAGATAAACAGAAATTAAGGGAATTTGTAAAAACCAGACCAACCTTACAAGAAATATTAAAAGGAGTCCTTTGTACAGAGAACCAACAATATCAGACAACAACCTGAGATTTAGGACACAGGACAGCAACAGACAGATACCAACCCAGATAAAGAATTCTCAAAAATAAAACAAAGCTAAAAGACTGAAAACAGGGAACCAGACATGTCAACTGTGCATGACAACAATACCAAAACAAAAAGGTGGAATAAATGGTGTAGTTATAGAACTTTCATATGAAGAGGAAGTCAAGGCGATACAAGAAATAAAGGACTACTTTAAACTTAGGAAGATAAAGGTAAATTTAAAGGTAACCACAAAGAAAGTTAATAAACCTACTTATCAAAATAAAAAAGAAGAAAAACATAAAGACTCAGTGAACACAAAATCAACAACAAAAGAAATGAAAAGAAAATCCACAAACAAAAAGAACTCAGCACAGAAAATTAAGCAGAACAAAGAAACCCTCAACACCACACACACACACACACAAAGCACAACAAAATGATAGCAGTAAACTCATACCTATCGGTAATCACACTGAATGTAAATGGCTTAAATACACCAGTAAAGAGACAGAAATTGGCAGAATGGATTAAAAAAACATAACTCATCAATATGCTACAAGAGACAAACCTTAGACACAAAAACATACATAAACTAAAACTCAAA